ACAAGCTCGAGACAACCCTTAGCTAGTGCATCGCTCAGCTAAAGCTAAAGCTTGATTCTAGGAGCCAGACTTGCAGCAAAGGGTTTCGTTGGTTCCGGGTGGTTTGGCAGCGGCGAGCCGCCCGATGGTACACCCCGATCTTCTTCGGCGTCTACCGTGTTCTGCATTTGCAGTCTGCCTACCCCGTGCTTGTTGCTGTGCTTCTGAGCCTCAGGTTAAGAGGAAGCCTCTTTCACATCCTCTCACTCGTCAGAACTGTCAGAACTCTTCAGTACTCTTCGGAGGGCTCATGCTGGAGAGCCCTTCGACCGGGTTGAGAGAAGCCAAAATTCGAGGCGCAGGGGGGAGCCCAGACCAACTGCCACATTGCACCCTCTCAGACCGGGCAGGCAGGGGCGCGTCAGTGAGACAGCCGGGCGTGGGCTCCCACGCACGCCCCGCGTGTGTGCCTTGTGAGCCTGGGATGCATGCGTTAGGATAGGCGGGTGAGCTTCTTAGATCTTTGCGAGAGTGTGATTTTCGTCCAGAATGCGGGTAGGCTTCCGGAAAAACGCATGTTCTGGGCTGTGCGTGCTGCCCGTGCGCGCCGTGCGATCCGCTCGATCTCGCCGCTCTTAGCCTGGACGTTGGAACCACTTAGTCACCTTTGTCTTGACACACTGTTCGGGGAATTGGCCCCCATCTCCCCCCCAAACAATCTTACCAGTAACAATTATTGAATTCGTTAGAGAAGGCAGGGAAGGAAAGAGGTTTGAGATTTCGGGCTCAGATTTCAAGATCTTCGGGGCAGAAGTAATATGCAGGATTTCAGTAGTCAGGGTTTACCTAGGTTTTGATTTGGGTAGAACCTTCAGCCCCTTGGGTTTCAAGTCTTCCTCCCGCCTGATTCCAAGAGGAACGAGGAGTGGCTCATCGGGTGGAATTTCCAGAAATCGTTGTAGAGTATGTTTTGTGCATGCATGTAAAAGCGAATCATGCATTCGAAACTTTCAGCCCCTAGTTCTGCAGGTCTACATCAACTTCACCATATGTTGTTTGTTTGTTGTTCTTTTCGGGAGGGGGAGGGGGGGGGGGGGGTTCTGGGTCGGGGGGTGGAATTAGTTGCCTCCATTTTATCGAAATTTTTGTAACTTTCTTATTCTGTCTTTGTTTGTATGTCACACTAAAGACCTAGAGCTCGGATAGAAATCAATCATTGAGAAGGTAGAGCTGCGCACACCTCGAGCAAGGAGACGTCGAGGAGCACCTGGTCTCGGGAATATCTACAGTGTGACATTGCGACTGGGCGTCACACATGTCGCACATGTCGCGCATGTCACACACACACAGTGCACGCAAGTGTGGACTACGTGTGCCTCAACATCTTGGGCACTTCCGAGGCACCGTACACAATACCTGGTAGCTGTTTAGCAACGAAGGGAGAAAGTTCACTAAGTGACATGCACAAGTCAGCGCCTTCCGTACGACCCTGGCCCTGCACCAAAGCAACATATACAAGGCTACGACGGCATCACTGCATGGACACAAAAGGCTCACCGAGAAAACTTGAGTGCCATCCATGCCCATTAGTTGGACAAAACGAAGTTCGCCTGCAAAAACACTCTTCTTCTTCTTCTTCTTCGTCTTCTTCCGTTGTTGGGTTTGAAGGACCTCCTGGTTTTTATCTTTATTTTTCTTTCTTTCTCTCTCTCTCTCTCTATTTCAGCAAGACTAGAGTCTTGTCGTGCCCGTGCTCAAGTGGAAAGTAGACAACTCAAACTAGCAGCACCTGAACGAGCAGTCGACTGTGCACACTGGCAGCAGACTGAGCCTCAAGCACAGCGGCTTTTGAACAGCGGACAGGTAATCTACACCGCGCAGCTGCACAGTCGAGCCACGCAAACTGCAGTGTTGAGCGGCTCGCAACCTCCAAAAACCTGATGAGACCTTAATGCTAAGTAGGGAACAGTCAACAGTGGACGTTTGCTGAGGTGTGCGCTTTGCAGGTCATATTGCGAGCTGGGTTCTCTTTTCCGGCTCATTCTGTGAACATTTCCAGCTATTCACCGAGATTACGACCAAGGCAACAGGGCATAAACATTATCGAAACCTATCGAGCACACTAAGGATTCTGGTGTTTTTGCTGGATTCACCTGTACACTGTACAAAGCTGGTGACGAATGGAAACTTTGGCTTTCAGTTAGCCCCGCGTGTTCCCTGTCAAGCTGCCATGAAGGCATCGTCGGCATCGCGGCCTCCCTCAATCTCCCTCAATTTCCTCATCTCGGCGTAAGCGTTGCTCGCAACCGCCGGCGACTTCATCCCAGTTCATCGTCTGCAAGAGCCTGGAAAACTTTGTGATCAAGCACACATCCGCACTCACCCGAGGACATGATGCATTGTTTGCATGAGTTAAGGCCCTCTAGCTAGTATAGTTACTCTAGTTTCGGTGACTCCTTGTGTACAAGATCAGCTGCACCATCGGTCCGACCAGCATCCCAAGCCAAAGGCCAGTGCTCTTCAAGCCGCAGGCAAAGCCCAGGGTCAGAGCTGCCGGGATTCCCAGAAGCCAGTACGCCAGCACGCAGATTCGAGCACCTGTCTTCTGTTGGCCTGTGCCGCGAATGGCACCGGAAAGAGCTGTTTGGAGGCCATCGATGCAGTAGAACCCGCCTCCACGTGACATTTTTCACACTACGTACACTATACCTGGATCGGCACGGGGCTGTTGTCTAGAAAGCAGAGTCACACGCAAAGCTCTAGCGATTCTAGCTTGGCCCAGGTCGCAGACGAAGATCAAGTACGCCGTGTTCCTTTCTTTGGTGAGTTTTGAAACCTTTGAAAATAAGTTGTTACTGATCTGGACTGCTTCTTGGGACTTGGCGTTTTGCAACATCTACGAGTTCACTGTCACAACTGCAGAACGTTTCCGTGCTTCCTCATTATCCTAATTCTTTGACAGAAGTTAACAGCAACCCTCCTCACAAAGAGAAACGAGGGTCAGGCCCTGGGCCACTCGGGGATCCAGCGCGTCGACGTGCACCATCTGGTCAAGCAGCATTCGGCATTGTGGGATCGCAAAGACCTTGTTGGGGCCAAGCACTGCGCGATTCATAGCTTGGCGCCCCTTTACTTTCTACCCTTTGGCTGGTGTGTTTGCACCAAGTGTGGGCATGACACATATTCGCAACAGGCAACTTTTAACATGCCGTGCCACACACTGCTGGAGAATGGGATGGGGCCCCCATCCCAAAACTCATAAAGCCGAGAAGCCATGGAGACTGCGATGGTGAAAGGGAACGTCAGCATGGCAGCCACGCGCATGGCTCGTTTCGCCTCAACGGGCATACCTTTGCCAATGGCGTTGCCTACACGCGTATCAGCGCATACCGAGATGGCAGGAAAGAGAGTGAAGAAGCAGCCGTAGACGTTCAAGGACAAACTCATGACATCCACCTCTATCTTGGGCGATGGCAGCAATGCGCTTGACGTAACAATTCCAGAAAAGCCCGACGACTCCAGCATCCTCATTGCCGCTGACGGATACGCCAGTGACGCTAGCGATCCCCAGCCGGCTCCAGCCTGTTTCATTGCAGCTGGTGTGCAGTGGCCACCCCAAATGGTAGGACCTGCGCCTACGCACCAAACAGCGAGCGCTCCAAAGACCAAGGTCATGCAACCACTGCAGGAAGTGGCCACTGCCGCCCCCAGCGGGCCAAAGCGAGGCACCAAGCTTACCGAGAAGCCATAATGGCAAAGAAGCACCAGAAAGGACCTTAGCTAGCGCTACTGCTGCCAGGAGAAATGCAGAATGCTTCTTGTTCACGGCTGTGAAGAAGAAACCATGCTGAAGCCACCGTGACCGCCCAGCTGCACTATCATGAACGGGCATGTGATTTGCTGGGATGCCAGCACTCGGTTCATTGGACGCCAGATGCACTGCGTTGCCAGGTCAGGGATGAGTAGCAGCAAGAACTTTGATGTGGCGCGGCCAACAGCAGGATCTGTGACCAATGGCAACCAGAAGAGGCAGGAAATGCAAAGTAGGCTGAAAGGAATAAGGTGCAACCTCAGACTGCTTCAAAGGCAAGCCATGTAGGAACGGAAGGTGCTCAGGTCAACTCGTCGGAGTGAGGAAAAATTAGCAAAACACAGAATACCCAGCCGTTTCGGCACGATTCTTTGCCCCTGTTTGCCTTCACATCCCAAAGGACTAAGCATCTACAGCCTCAACATGCCTAGCCCATCCTGCTCCATTCAGCTCCCAGGAGCAGCAGGAAACAGCTGGAGCGGCGGAAGATTGGGCCCAGGAGATCCTTGCGTCCAGCACCTGCGGCCTGCGAGGAAATGGTATCCACAGCACCGCAAAGGCCCATGATAAGATTCCGACCTCACATGGAATTCAGGTTTCACTTGGCAAGCCAAGATTAGGTGTGAGGTTCCACAGTCGAAAATGGAAAGATGTGGACAGTGCATGATTCTTCTAGGCGGCCAAGGCAGGTGTAGAGGGCCAATGCTAAGCCCACAGATGCCACGGCGCTGGTGCCACTTCCTGCGACAATGTGCCTTGCTTGCTGCTGGGCCTATGAGATCTATGAGTTCGTTTTGCCCCGCAGGAAGAACGTAACATGCCCATTCTTGCAAAACCCATGATGCAGTGTCACAAATGTCAGGGCATAGTTGATGATTTGACCTCGCAAAACGAAGAATCTGGGCAACAGTTGATGCAATGGATGATTCATAATTTGTCGACTTATGTTGATACATGTAGCTCGCGTACGACAATTGGTGCCTCGACTACGACCAAACAAACTCGAAAGCAATTCACGCAATGACTAGGCTTCAGGAGGCTCATCCCATAGAGGTCTTTCAGGCCAGCGAGGGCAAACTGTTGAACATCTTGTCCCTTATTACTGAGATAGCGCCCGATCGCATACAAAGCACAAGATAGCTTCTGCAAGCAAGGTGTATCTTTGGTTGCAACACACACGGCATCCTGCCTGTGGCCAAGGGCAGCATCAATCCCAGCTGAGCACGGGCCTCTGAGAGCCAGAGGCGCCACTGTTCACGGCATGAAGTGGGGGCCAAGACTGGCACCATCGGCTCCAGTGATGCCACCATGTTGGAAAAAGGGCGAGGCACTGGCCTGCGTAGTGGAAATTAAATATTTGGCAGGTGTGCCGCTATTGAAAGCAGCTTGGAAGTAGGGTCGTGCGCTCATCCGCTGCTTTACTCCTTGTCGAAGTTCGTTGCTGTCATCTGCGTCACACAGAGGGTACTATTGCAAATGAGCCAATTGAAATGAGGCAATTCGCAATTGGAAATGCGCCATGGCACAGCTGTTGCTCGGAATCACGTGTCTTCTGCTGAGATCTGGAACATGTCTTAGAACATGTGGAGTTTAAAAAATTTGACATGACATGCAGCGACAATTGCCAAGGGCAGTGTTGCAGTTGCAAACCCTTCTGCTTTCCGATCGCAAGCTACACACGGACTGGGCTTTGCACCCCCCCAACGGCTTTGCACAACCCATATTATTCAGCCGAGAAATAAATGAGAACCTTGCACACATTGTGCTTGCAGCTTCGCCGGTTGCTGTCCCGAACGACGAATTGCTACTAATGTGCTTCTGGCTTTCTGGATATTCAGGTGGCTCTCCGTCAGGCTGACCAAAACACAAGAAGCAGCACACAAAGCAAATCGTTGCCGCGCTTCTTTCGGCCAAAGTTCCGCGGAATTCGCTCAACGTGGCCCTGGCTGATTTGCGAGGTGCACGATTAAGGCTTCTTACTAAATTCTGCGTCGTTCTGTTGCTGAACTTGAACCCAAAATGTCCAAGACTAGCCTCGAACATAGTGTCCGTGTCCCCTTTCTAGCTTGTGAGCATGGGAAGCCTTAGTGCACATCTTCTGAAATCAAGCGCTCAGGGCCGTCTTTGGTCACTGGGCTGATCTACCCTGATACCCCGAGGGTTTAATGCCTTACGGGCTTTGGTGCTTTTTGCATTGGTTCGCCTGGAGCATGGGCTTAGGATACAGGGCGTTGGAGTTCAACGCCTCAAACCGAAACCACGCAATGCAAAGCTGCCATGGGTTGCTGCTGGCAAACTTAAAAAAGGCCAATTCTGATCATTTTCCTGTGCAAGCACCTACAGTCCTCTCAGACAAAGTTTCCGGGCGTAAGGGTTTAGGTCTAGGGTCTACGATGGTCTACGTGTAAAATGTGTGTGCATGTTTGTGTGTGTGTGTGTGTGTGTGTGTGTGTGTGTCGCCTGTGTCTGTGTCTGCGTCTGTGTGCGGAGGTCAGCTCTCGCCCACCCTCACTCTGTGAACGCGTGCCAGCACACACCTCCGGCACGAACACACCAACTTGTCCCCAAAATGCGTTGGAGCTGTTCCCCATCACCGCAGAAGTACTTGTTGTCTCTGCTTCTCCTCTTGACCTTTCATTTTGGGAGCGCTCCTGCTGTCAAGCGCTGCGTGGTAGCTTGACCTGTGCGTCGGTCCAACCCGCAAGCTGCCGCTAGCTCGTTGTGAGCTGTTCCGGTCCACCCCCCTCTCCCCCAACCTCCTCCTCCGAATCACCACGGAACTTTCCGTCTTTGATCCGTTCCCCACTCTTCCCCTTATTTACCAGGGAATGCACCAGTTGCCTCAAAAGATCTCAAGAGTATTCTCATCCTAGCTCAGTGTGCAAGCCTGATCATCGCGCGTTACAATCAATACTTGCTGAGCATTCCTGTTGCGTTCTCCCAACTTGTCAATAAGCGGTGCACGTCGTTCTAGGACTCTAGGTTTGGGGCTGGGGGACTTAGCAACGCAGAGCTTCTAGCTACACGGCCGGCGACTTTCTCAGGCAACGCCGCTGAGATGGCATGTGCAGCCACTTGCCTTAGGCAGCACAAGTATTTCTGCGAACACACTGCAGTCGCCTTGTGCTCAACCTTCCGCACAGTATGAAGCCTAACAAATACTTGTCAAGGAAACGGTGAGGTAAGGGCCAGGGCAAAATGCCCAACGTATACGTCATCACGCGAGCCTTGCTAACTTTGCTATATGCATTCCGTTCGCACTTCTCGAGGTATTGCACTGAGCACGAGGCGTCGCTGCCGAGTTGAGCATCAGCCGCACATCAGGTTCTTAGTCTGTAGTGTTTAGGCGGTCGGTTCCTCAACACTCAACCCTGCATTGTGTTATGGCGAAACGCTAGCTGCAGTGTTGTCCTCGCAGTAGGCGACATAGCACAAGGGTTGAGGCTTGAGGTCCCGAAGGTTGAATGCTGTGGAGGATGGTGGGTATTGGCGAGAAAAAGCCGAAGGTGCGCACATGCGTGCAGCATACAGCAGCGCGAGTTTACAAGCCAAACCCCGCACCCTGCCCTAAGATGCCCTAAGTGAGTTCTCAAATTCTCACATCCTGTCATCTCCCAGTCCTAAACAGATTCTAGAATCCTGGAAGCTCCCCCTGGGTCGGCAAACCTGGTCCCATCTGGTCTCCAAGCCCTATAAGAATCCGAGCTTGGGACCCCTTCACGATAGCAGAAGCAGGTTCCGACGCCGAACTGCGGGATACCCTGCAGCAAGGCTTGTGGATGATGAGCCTGGGTATGTCCCATTCTCGCACGCAGCCTACAGCTGTGTAACATGTGTTCATGACTCATGACCCTGCGTGCATCCTCGCCTGGATCAGGGCCTTCGTACAACCTAACCGAACCTTTACAATATGAATGTTTCGAGCACACCCTTGCCATTGGCCTTGGAACCGTAAAGACCCCCCTCATGCTGCACGACGACGCCAGCGTCCTTGGAATTGAGGCATTTTGAAGCTGCTACATAGTGCGGATGAAGCCCGCTCTTCACATTGTGGCTCGGGTGGCGCAGAAAGTTCCCGGTGTTCGATCTGGGCGACAGCAACCTACCTCCGACGCCGGAAGCTCCCAACGCCAACGACGAGATCTCACAAGCTGCCTTAAGCCTGAGCCCCCAGCTCCACACCTCTGATCAAAAGAAACTCGGTAGAATTGGATTTTGATCTCATTGACACGGTCTCAAAGCCCGGACAAATCATCCGAACAATGAAAGCCAAGCAGTGGATCTCCGCAGCCGATGCAAAGATGAGCTGGAAGCCAATGTGTATGAAAGCTGTATACCCTAGCCTAATTGGGTAGTAGTAGAATGATAGGCTGGCTAGGGGAAGGTCCAATAGCGATAGCCCAATGCCATTTAATTTGGCAGCGGCCCCATCATGTCACGTCAGTCCGCATGCAGGTTGAAGCAATTGAGTGGGCAACGACTACAACATGCACGGTTGCACGCGACTTTCGACAAATGTTCTGCAAAGACTTGCTTTGACATCCGGTCCTCCGGCGTGCACCGTCGCCCCATGTCACCCCGAGATTGACAAGAATACACGGCAGCGAAAGACATGCATCAGGACCAATGACCAAAGAAACGAACCCTACACGTGCACAGCTGAGCTTGGCACCAGGTCTCCCTTGTTGATGAACGTGTACATGACCTCTGCCACGCTATGTGGAAGGGTGGCCCTGTGTTCATTTTCATTCATGTTCATATGAGGTTTAAAAGTTTACAAGCGCATTGAGCAGCGACGAATATCACCACAAAGCGCTGCAGTTCCACTCGATTTTTTAACCTCCCGCAACACACCCCCTATGTTGCAAGCCTGTTTCGGTTCTTGTTAAACAATTGGAGGGGACGCGGACTATGACATGCATCAACTTTATGTCTTCGTTGTGGCGGCCCCTCCAAGTACAGCTCCTTAAACACCAGTGTGGCGCTAGTATGGCGATGGCTCGGTGCCAGCTCTCAGTCCACAGTAAGAAGTTAGCATTCGGCCATTTGGCCCCAAGTTAGCATGTGGACCACTGGTCTGGTTGCCGCACTAGCACAGTGCTCGCGCAGCACCAGCAAAAATGTGCACGAACCTGTGTTTTCCAGTAGGCCTAGGTTTTAAAGCGCCCCCTGGATTGCTACAATTTCTCCGGCAAGGGGGCGAACATCATACATAGTTGCAGCTGGTTTCGGCTTTACAAAGGCTGTAGTCTTGTTTGGGCGGGCCTGTTTTCAAAAGGGCTGGCCTGCCTCTTTCTTCTTTCTGGGCTTTTCCGGGCCTGCTCTGGCCTCTTCAGTTTGGACAGGCCGGTTGAGCCAAATTTGTTAGCATGAAAGAGACCCCCCGACTTTCAGATGGGAGCCGAGATGTCATTTCTCTGCGGGCCGCCTCATGTCCAGACAACAAAAAGCTTCCTATACCCGAGATGGGCAAGCAGCATAACAGCATCGACAACTCGCAGTTCCCTAGCAAACAAGCCAGCGTGCCTCTTCACAACAGTATAGGGCGGATTTTTTCTGTAAAGGCGTATTGGGTTTGACGAGTAGGGGGAATAGTTGATTTTAGGATTGAAGGTTTTTGGCAGGTTGAGGGTTGAGGGTTGGGGTTGAGGGCGTTGGGTCATGGGGCATTTAGGCCAATCCACTCCTAACGCGTAACGAGGCCATTCCTGAAGCGAAGTGAACATTATGAAGGGGCAAGGCGGCAAGGAGAAAGCAGTCTCCAGGATAAAAGGTTAAGAGGCGCCTGCAAACCCCGCACTTGGAAGCTGAGGATGTCGCGCCCTCGTGGCAGTTGGACACCTCGATCGTCCCTGGTTGACAGGGATGTTGTCTCAAAGTGTTGCAGTGTACTTGTCATCACCTCCGTGGCTTAAGCTTACAGAGGACTAGCGGAGACTCTAGCCAGGACTAGCCAGCTGTAAGGCTGGATGCACACGTCGCAGGCGCAAAAGATTGGTGTGAGATCGGCAAGAGGCGTTCGTCTTCCTTTCCTGATTGCTGGATTCGGATCGAGACTGGGTTTGTCTTTGTCTAGATGGACATCTTCGGCTGCCCTTCGACTTCTTGACCCTGGAGCCTCCTTGTCTAACACCTAGGCCTTGACCCACTGACCTCTCCAGTCAAGCCCTAGCTGACCTCTTCGGTCGCCGATTTAGTGACTTTAGTGCTGGGTTCAGGCCTTGCAGGCAAAGCTTCAAGGGCACCAGTTTAACTGTGGGCACACAAGTCAATCGTTGTTCAGAGCAGTGCGCCCCTGACAATGCGAACAATGCACCAATACAACTATCGACGAGCAGAAGACAAGCAATTCGAACATTTACAGCCATTTCATGCCCAAACCACCTAATGTTGACCTGGCTCAAGCCCCGACACAACCTCGGCTAACACTGCCTCTCTTGAAAGTCATGAGACGACAACCTCTGTAGTACGTCCGTTAGCTATGGCGGCCAGGTGTCTCCCTTAAGTCGACAAGAACTGAAACTTAGTCGTAGTAGCATCACCCACACGCAAAGTTCGGGCATCGAGCCAGGCGAACCACCTAGGACCCAAGGCCCCCAAAGTCAACTTCTTCTCATTTCCCTCCCCCTCTCCACTCCCCCAATACGCCTCACCCCACACTAGAGAAGCTAAATTCAGGGCCCAGCGTGTTGACCTGCATTTTCATGCTTTCATGCACATACGCGCGCCTACTTGTCGGCCAACCATAATCACCACTGGCGGACACACCTCGAAGCAATCGTTAGAGGTAATGTGAAACATTTCAACGCCCCGAAGAGAAGCCAGGTACAGGTGGGATTGCGTCTGTGTGCTGTGGCAAAACTGGACCCGACAATTTGACACGCGGCTCCCGAACATCAATGTGGCACCCACATGACAAATGACAACCTTTCCTCCTGCCAAATCCTGGCATGAAGCAAACTATGCATCTTGTCCCTGTGTACAGCACCGGGTATTTCACTTAGCGCGAATCACGGCTAGAATCCAAGAGAGGCTGTCGAAAACCAGCTCTCAACATCTCTGGACACACTTTCTATCTCGATCAGTGCCATCTCGAGCCTGCCTTGCCGGGATAGCAGTCCTTGGACAGGTCAAGCGAGGTCTTCTCCTCGTCGAACATGACCTGAGGCTGTTGGGCGGCTTCTTTCATTTTTCAGCCTTTAAGCCTTTTGTTGAGATCTTGGCCCCAACAGCTCCACTCTAGGTCACCTAGTCAGAGCAAGATGAGCCTTCCAAATAAATCATCGAGGGCCACGTGCACGTATGATGCGTAGGACAGGCAGGGATCCCAGTGCAAACTCCCGCGCTTAACTGTGGCTTTCGTACACCAGCGCTTGAAACCGAAGCCGTTCTCCCGAGTAGGGCCGCGGCCTCATAAGCACCTGCCCTCTCCTGCATTGGATTTGGAGTTGCACAGTTCCCTCTTTGTTCAGGGAGTGGGGGAGAGGCTGTCTGCGTAGAGATCTGCAGAATCACGCCACCGACCCACATGCAAAAGCCTTCAGCCCCACTGTCGAAAGACTAGCTCCGGCACGATCTTAATGTAGGTCGGAGGCTGGGCGCGGCGTGGTAGGTGTAGGAATTCAGGCGATTGCTGCAGATGGCTTAGGTGGCTCACAACCGCGAAAGATATGACCGAATTCAGAAGAAACGTTCCACTGCAGGTTTGGCGGCTCGGCGTTCAGGCTGTGGAAACAGGGTGGGGCGAAAGGATAATGTACGACATTTGCGCTGATGCTGCGTGCCCTCCAAGCCAACCCAAGTACAAGCGCAATCTGGACTCGTAGCCCTGAGCCAGGGCATCATGAACCCCTCCCGCAGCATGCAGCCTGAAGCAATGACAACGCCCCTCTAACTCTATGCTTCCAATGAACGCTGACCTGATCTCTTGGATTAGGCCGTTCGGCCGCCACGCCCAGACCCCCGAACTCAAAATACATCGATTTACGATCATCTTTCTCTGCCGTCCCACTCTTGCCTGGTCTTGCAGCCAACCCATCTGGCTAATTTCTCGTTTGGCATTTGCTAAGCCCCACAGAGGCGACATTCGATTCCACTTTCAGACGCTGCTACCTGGCAGTTCCCATGGAACCCCAAATCTGAAGTTCAAGTAAACGCCTGCTTGCTACTAGCGAAACATTGCCTCAGGCCTCCTGGCCAATGATGTACTTGGAAGCGATGCTCAAGGTCGCGAGGAGACTACAAAATGTCCATCCTGGCATTGCGAAGGTCGGCAAAATTCAATTTTCTCAGACGATTCTCATGTTGTTTGAGAGGAGAGAGACAGAGTAGGGGGAGGGGAGGGGAGAAAAAGGGAGGGGGGGGGGGGGGGGGGGGGGGAAAGTAGGGATCTAAAGAAAGTTTCACATTAATGGCTTCCAATGCAGTCAAGTACGTTCGGGTTCCAAAGAGGCACTTGAACGATTTGCCACCTTGCGCGTTTCTGGGATGCAACTGCAAGGTGCTGCAATGTTGTCAATGTCTCTGCCGCTTGTCTTTTGGCGTTACCATCGGACGCCAACTTAGCAGGTGCATAGCCTGAGCCTGAACCAGAAAGACATTTTTGTCTCAGCGCTGCCTGTCTTTTCTGCTGTGAAGTTTCAAAAATCGTACATGCTTACTGTAGCGTGACAGAGAGTGTCCGGAGCATGGCAACTCGATCCCCAAAACCAATTGCACTGAAGCTCAACAGCAGGATCCATGCCACGGGATGATGTTTGCTGGCCAAAATCTGTAGATACTTACAGCGCGACTCTTGAAACCACAATCCTGGCGAAGGCAGGATGCCAGCACATCAGAGACCATGAGCTTTCAGGGCTGTCCGGGTTTTTGGCTAGGGGATGCCGGGGGCATTTCTGATTTCGACCCGGGTTCAGGCTGTTTCCGACTCAGGTTCAAGATGTGTCCGACTCAGGCCCTGGTGCGTCCCTCGAGAGTGGCCCCAAAAACAAGCCCTGGCTTGCAGTCCGGCCCCGCAAACTACAAAGTTCAGGTCCCAAATGCTGAAGTTTCGTTTATTCCGTTGTGAATCTCAGCCTCTAAGGTGTCACCCTTGCATGTCCTGCTAAACCCCAAAACCTCCTGGGAGCCATTTGGCTGACTCAGAGGAGTGCCAGTAGATGAAGCCCATGGTCATGACAATCGTTGCACGTCGTAGCAGTACTTCACAGCAAGAAAAGCCGAAGTACGAGAAAAGCTGGAAAAGCTCGCAAGCCCTGTGCATCGTATCACGTTTCAAGTCGTGGCTGGGAGGCTTGTGAGCAAACGGTTCATCGCGCCCACTTCGCAACCCGGAGCTCTAACTTTGAACCCAAACAGCTTCTGGCATGCGCGGTGGAACTGCTGGATGTGCCCATTCGAGGAGCTTGCTTGTGTTAGTTTAAGCAGGCAGCGCACCAAGTTGCATGGGACAATCAAGATTCAGGATTTGCTGGGGCTGGGTTAGGGGCCATCCAGGCTTCAAAGAGGGTCGATGACATAGCAGAACAATCGTTGTTGGCTATCATGGCTATCCTGCTACAGTATACATTCCCTCGATCCCGTAGGATGTACACCTCTGTATGGCATTTGAACTGAGGGCTGCGCGAGAAAGATTGCGGTTGCAGTAGTTGCTTCTGCGTCTCTACCTGGCTGACTGCATGCAGTCGTGCCCGAAATGACCTCGGCCGAGGTTTTGAGCCGAGTCCCCTCTCATCCAAGTACCAGGCCGCCTCTCGAAGAGGGCATCGCAGTCTGACAAGCCAAGGTTCTATCGAGCGCGTGCTTTCGGAAGGGCATGTTTGGGCACCTAGGCAAGTGCAGTCTAATCCTCATCAGGGCCCTCAGCATGGGTATGAAGGCTCAAGTGTAGTTCGAAGTAGTTTGAACAGGACTTGTTCGAGCCATGTTTGTTCCTCGCAGAAAGCCGCTCCGGGGTTGAAGGTTTTAATTTGGAGGTTGAGCCTGGAGCCTGGGGCCATGGAGATCGGGGGCCAGGGACTTGAAGAGACTCTTTCTCCGTCTCACTCATGCCAAGGACCACGTTGGGTCTGCAGGCTCAGTGGCTCAGTGGCATTCATAACCGCTGCGTGAAAGAGGCATTTGCGATAGATTCGGCTGCGCCACTGCGCTTATGTTTGGCACGATGTGGGGCCAAATCGCCGGGTGCCGGGATCTGTGGTCTTGTGCCTCAGTGAACCTTCGACGAATAACTTTCCATCACGCACCGACTTCAGTCTCGTCATCGCAGAAGGAAGGCATCGATGAGCCTCGGATAACGTACAGTCAAGTGCTCAAAGTATCGCGCATCGTGTCACACCTAGCGAGGGTTCAAGACTCAAGCTGGCAAGCGGGAAGCCACAGCATTTGAGTGTCCTAGTTCTACTATTTAGAAGGTTTAGCTCAACCAGGCAGTGTTTGCACACAGTCACCAGCGACGGCATTCAATGGCAACACGGCTCCGACAAGACCATTTGGTACCATTTGCCAGGCAGCTCATTCGAGGGACTCCAAGAGGTCTAATGTCGGTTCCAGGGCGCTGGGGATATGCGCGCGCAAATAGCTGAGATTCTGAACCTCAGAGGCATTCAGGGGTCTCGAGATGTAGCCGGTTCGATTGAACTGAAACTCGGGGATGTAGTTCTCCGCCATATACTTAACGTTCGCCAGTGAGGGTCTCAGGCCACGAATCTCACCAATCCGCTGCCTGAGCTGCATAATGCTGTACACTCGCCTCACGCGCCAAAATCGCCCATCATAGCTTCGGGTCTTGAAATGTGGCCACAGCGCACAGCAAGTTTATGACAACACTCTTTAGACTCTTTGGACTGCGCAAGCTGTGATTAAATGTCATACCGAGAAACAAGCTATTGACGAAGCATTGTGGTACCTGTGGGCCTGTGGTGATCCGCCAATTTAACATTTGATGAGGAGCAATCAGTAACTATATAACCATTTACTTTTGACAAGCTGAAAACTTCCGATGTCTTGAATGTTACATGTTACAGTACTGCATGAGTCATGTGCAAGAAACATTGTTCTGCCGCGCTTGGGTGGCAAGCTGCTGTGTCTCCCGCATTCTTAAAGAGAGGTCGAGCAGGATTCCAGGAGACGTCTGGGAGATGTCTATCAGGTCCTCCGCCGGAACAGGCAAAGCCCGCAAGGTCCCTTATATAACCTTTAGATCCTAGCTGCTCCTAGCTGCTCCCTTCATGTCGGGACGCACACTGACCTGGACCCGCGCTAAAACTTCGGAACCCAGCTGCGCAAAACTCACTGTTGAGGCTGTTTCAGGCTTGCTTTCAATGTCTAGTATAGTAGGCTTGAGGAACTCGATTTCCATGGAGGGCTTTGCCAGGACAGTTCGGTGGAGGAAACGTTCAGGGGCCATTGGAAAGCGGATCATGCTTTCTCGGGCTTCGCAACTGCGGGATTCTAGCCCATTGGATTGACACCCTGCCTCTGGCGTGCAGTCCCTGGCTTGTGACGCAATGCACCGTGCATACTGCCTTGGTCGGGTTCTCGACGGGTAAGAGGTTTGAGACACTGCTGACCAAGAGGTGTGCCATCCAAACAAAGTCAGATTGAGCAAAACGTCACAAAGCTTGCAGAAAAGGCAACTGACCAAAAACCTTGTTGCCGAAATCCGTAACATGCTGGCACTATGGTAGCTCTCTCAAGTCTCATGCTTAAAGACGTGAAGCTGTGCAGCCTGGAAGCCGAGTGAGACTATGCTTGTGGGCTTGCAGAAGGCGTGCCGCAGTCACCGGAAGACTCAGAAGCTTGTCCTTTTCATAAGGTGTTGGATTCTCAGTGATTCTAGGCGTCGGATTGTTCGGATGTGTTCGGATGGTTTCAGCATCTCGGCTGAGGGAGACAGCCAAAGGTCAAACGGTCAAACCGAGCCAACTCGAAGAACATCACAGAAGGAATTGGCAAAGCATGGAAGCTTTTGATTGCAAACCAAGCGGGCAGATTCCTCCACCCCAGACCATTCGCCACATTAGCCGCTTAAACCACAGAGGTCCTCGCAGGCGTCTTTCAGGAACCCCACCTGTCTCTCCAGACTTGTGGGCAAAGAGCCAACATTCTTGTGCTGGGCTCAGGTACTTGAGTAAAGCAAGAAAGCAAAAGGCGGAGTGCGACCTCCTTGTGCTGTAATTCGGCTATCTCCTTTGTGGACGGATGGCTCTATGAGAACCCAGCATTTTCTTGCAGCCGCACTCGCCTGATAGTAGTCGCCTCACTTCGGAGAGTTGTCCACAAGCGTCAGGCAAATCAAGATTCTCGAACGAAGCTTGAACGCCACGCACAAAGCATGACAAAAAGGAAACTGACTGCACAAAGCCGAGTTGCTGATGTCGAGAAGGGCATCCAGATTTGCCTCCGTCACCTTGTCCGCGTTCCATGCACCCGGCCTGCTGAGACTGGTGCAACAGGCACTGCCACAACCAAAAGCCACCCGCGCATGAATCAATGCTGAACCCCATAAAGGACTTCTGTGTTTTTGGGGGTTTGGTCTCACATGTTCGGCTGGTCAGAGCCTCAGCAAATTGTAGAAACCCTCGAAGTCCTCCAGCTGTGCGACTTCCACCTGCTTTTGCGCACGTCAGAAGAAGGTGACGACAGGCAAGTTTCTTCTAGGAAGCAGAACCTGCTGAGTGAAGGACTTACTGTCCGACCTATGCCAAGAGATGCGCTCCATGATTGGCTCCATAACAGCCTCTGCTCTCCTCCACCCCAACCGGAAAAGGAAAGCGACGCGTTCGCTTTCAGCAAAGTTCCAAACTGTAACTAGACAGCCTCAAGGCACCGTCGAGACCTTGTCCATGCGCGAGCGACAATGCGGCAATTTACAAAGCCCACCCGCAATATTATGGTCCGATGCCCACCGGTACCAATGAGTGGCATTTCTTGGCAGCGGCGCATGGATCGAGCACTGCTGTACGGCACCGAAAGAGCTAACTTCACAAAAGCTCATGCTGGCTTCCACATAGAGCACTTTGGTATTGCTTTGGTCCTATGGGTCTGATGCTCGAAACTCGAAAGGCTGTGCAGGAAGTGCCCCCTGCCTTGATGATGTTCTTTTGCGCCTCCCTCATGCCGCATTCGAGCATGCGATCGAAGACGGGGGAAGAAAGCCGCAACAAAGCCGAGCAGGCGCTCATGGTCGAGCCCTGAGTTTTCGTAGGCTCTGGGTCTGGCAGGGCATGGTGGGGTTCACAGGGTGTCGGAGGTTTTGCATGTGGGACATAATCACATGTAGGACATAATCACATGCAGTGGCGCAAGTTGCTTTGGAGCCTAAGGATCCCCACCGAAGTCCAGAGTGATGTCGTTCAGGCGACTGGCGTTGCCGGATCCTCCTGGCCATTCCTTGTTAGCATCTGCCTGCTTCGGAGATGCTTGTTCCATGGCTTCCTGGTGCTTGAAACTACCCCCTGTGCTGAGCCACGCCTTCGCCACACCCTAACCAACCCCGACAAAGCGAGGATGGGGTCAAAGTGCAGGGATGGAAAACAAGGTCGCAAGTCCCACGTCTTCAATGAGGGCATGTGGCCCCACCACCGCTCAAGATCACTCAAGTACAGTACTTCTTCTCCTCTACAACCTACCCACTCTAGCTAAATGAGCAGTTAGTGAACCGTGTGTTCAAACTGTCCCCTGTTGGTACAATTCAAGCCTGCCACAAATTCTTGTGCCTGTCCATGCCTTGCAAGCCCAATGTGCTTGAGGGTTCATAGCATAGGGAACCCTGGTTTTATTTACCAACCCTTGACCAGCACGAGTTACCCAGCGACGCTAACAACAGGGACTGAAGCTTCGGGTGTAGCATTGAGGGTGCGTAGGTAGGAGTCAAGTCAACCAAGACCCCAGCGAGAAAGGACGCCACAATCTCCCATTCTTCATGCGAACCTCACAACCAGACCTCACAATAACCTACAAAAGTGCATCTATCTACCACCCGAACCTGTGGCACGTGGCATCCTGAGTACCCATGACAAAGTGATCCTGGGAACCAAATGGAACCAACGTCAACCTGCTATTCACTGCTTCTGCCCAAGAAGCTTCAAGCAGAAGGGTTCTTCTAGAAGTTTCCCTCTTGGCGCTTTACGCCACTAGGCCAGCCTGTATACATGTACACTAGTTGAGAGCGACTCTGTGAACTTGACCCTCTCAAACCTTTGTTCCCTTTCTGAATGCGTCTCGAAGGCAACCATGTTTGACAAGTTCGGGGCGTGCAGCGCTTGTGCTTGTTAGGACCGTGCTCAGCTTGTTCATCCTCATCGGCTCTCCGGCTCTCCCCTCATCTGGCAGGTACTGCATGGATCCGTTCGAGCCTCAGCACTGCTGGCACGGGCACAGGTAGGCCGGCTTCGGCGATCTTTTCAGCTAGCAGGCTCTACGGATCTACAAGCACCTGTGCCGCAAAAGCTGCATTGAACATGTTTTGCATGGTGGAGAAGGGCATTCGACATTGCTTCGAGATGCGCGGGACCTCCGAATGTGTTCAGGCGAGGGCCTTCACGGAGTGCACAAGCGGCGTCTCTACGTGAGCTCTAAGCGTCTTGTGGCCATCTGTTGTGCCCAGAACACGTTCTCCTCACTGAGCAGCTGAGCGCACGCTGGCCTCCCTGGCCTTCCTCTCTGGAAGGCCAACACATGCAAACGAGCCCACAGGAGTCCACAGGCTTCGATTTGTCAAAGATCTTCAAAAGCAAGGGGCTTTGGAAGTATGTGGATCGCCACACACTGTACGAGCGAACGCAACTTCTGGAAGGATGGCTTCGGTTTTGGCGCACGCAGCACTGGCATGCTATGTGCCCTGGAACTGGTTGACGGTCTGCGATGCAATCCGGCCATCTTCTGCCAGCTGACGGAACACCGTCCCAAACCGGGCAACTTCATCTCGCTCCATCACCGGGACAGCAGGCGCAGCAGCGGGTACAGCAAAAAACCAAGCAAGGCAACCTGGCGGCGAACGCTGGCAGCGCGACGTCCCAGGCAAAGTTACACTACGCAGCTTTAGGATGTCTATGTGGTGTTCCCCCGTGCAGACTAATCAGGAGCTGTCTGGCGAGGCGACGAGCCTGCCAGAAGGCTTCGTGGGATGTACCGGGCCCATGTTGACGCACTGGTTCCGAGGACGGCCGGTAAATCGAGGTTTCCTGAGCAACTTAGAGCGAGGCACACGAGGCACGCGAGGTACACGCGCAGTCAAGTGGTGCAGAGAAGGGTGTCCGGAACGGACAGCAACTTTCTTACGATGCCATGACCTCATCATGCCGATTCACGCCGGCACCAGATGCGCGGCATGAAGCAGCATGACATCTTGGAAGGACCTTGGTGAGGCCGTCTGGACATCCTGGACGCTGGCCAAGCTGCTTGCGCAGCTTGGCCGCAGGTTCCTTGGCTTGAGGAGAGAGCCACGCTCTGCAAGCTTCGTACAGGAAAGTGGCACAGCCTAGCGCGTCGTGCCTCTTCATGCCGGCTTGTCGTTGGCTTCACCGAGATCCAGAGCGACGGCACTTCATCAACAAGCCGCCACATGCCCAGCAGCTTGCCGAGCACCGACCATGATGGCTCGCACCAAGTTTGGGATGCCGCGGTGCCTGTGCCATGGGCACAATGCATGCGACGTGGGGAGCAGGCGCTGCGCTCCCGTTGAAGTGCGCCAGCGCTGCACGGGCTTCTTGCTCAGCGATTCACCTGAGCCGCCTCACGCCGTCAACGTGCCAGCAAGTGTGTCTGCTTGGGTCCGTGCAGCGGGCTCGACTGCATACAGGGGGATGCGTGAGCTCTCTCTCCCTCTCTCTCACAGCGACTCGGTTTTCCTGTCAGTGCTGACCCATGCGCTGCAGAAATCAATTCAAGGGCTGCCTACCATGGCAGCAAAGCACGTGCACCAGGTCGCCCTGCACATTCTGGTCAGAGAAGGCCGCGTGATCCTCGTCTTAAGTTGCGACGAGCACGGGGGCACCTCCCCTGAGCCCTCAGCTGGCACCTGGCACTGCTTGCAACACCTGATATATCTGCGCAACTGCCCAAGCACAGAGAGCACTTCAGCGGCGCCGGGGCTCTTCTCAAACCCACGCACGAGGGCAAGGTCGCCAGCATAGAATGGGGAGCGATGGCGACGGCAAAGGCAAACGTCCACCTGAAAATCTGGGACGGAGGCCACGGCATGCGCGCTTTGGCGTGCTTGCGCGGGCGCTTTTTCGCGGACGCTTTCGCGGATGCTGTCCGGGGTGCCTTAGCAAGCCGCACGCGGGAGGCACGCAGGGCACAAAAGTGGCCACACACACTGCCCGTGAGCCACCCCGCGTCACACCTGGAGCTTTCCCCCACTGAAGCAGCGGGCGCCTATATCATGGGCTACAGAAAGCGGCACACGGGGGCGAGGGCGTGTGACACACCTCCGCAAGCATTTGCGTGCTTTCTGCAAAGCAGGCAAAGCACATGCCCAGCTCAGCCGGTGTCGCGGAGCACTCGCTGGCGAGGGACCGGCTAGTTCAAACACCTCCCGGCGACGCTGGCCCTGCCAAAGCCCCGAGAATTCTGGGAAGATGATGCTCTGGGTACGCAATTTAGAGGTGAACATGCTGAAGCTTCTGAGGCTCACCGGGTCACGCACGCCGGCGGTGATGGCTCCCACGGGCGTTTGGGATGGCGGTGGCTGCGCTGGTGGAAGACCTCGAAAGCTCTGCTGATTTCGCTTCCTTACGAAGCGGGCGCTTCATGGGAATGCAGTTCACACAAACCTTGTGGCAGTCATCCCTCCGCATCGGCAGCGAAGTGCAGTGATGGGGCGGTTTGGCTCAGCGGCCGGGCGAGTGGCCGGGTCGCCAACGCTGAGACCCATGATCAGCAAATCGACATGTCTGTATTGTCCATGTGCAGCAGCTGCCCCGCACCAAGCCGGGCGTCGCCTCTGGTGTCACATGTGTCACGCATCAACAGGCACAAGCAGGAGCTCATGGGAGCTCTCACTTCAGCGAGGCGTGGAGGCATTTCTTGGTTGCCCATGTCGAAGCTCTGTGGGGCCAGTCCCAGGCAGATGCTCATGCCACACCTGGCATCCCCAAGGCCCTCAGAGGGCAGTAATGAAGTCACATGAAACATCAGGCAGCATCGCGCGAGAAGAGTTGGATCGGAGTCGCACGGCAGCTCTTCCAGCGACATCGGCGGAGCCCAGCCTCCCCTGAACTGGACTACACATTGACGCGAGCACCTCTCCTACAGCCCGTGGCGCGCAACACCACGCAGGCATGGAAGATCGGAGGGTGTGGGCTGAGCGGCTGGCCCTACTAGGCCAGGTTGGCATCGTGCACCGGAGGCCGGCAACATCTCTGCAGAGGTATCTGCACATTTCTGCATCCAAGCCGGAACCTACTAGCCTATGTATGGCTTGCACATGCGGAGCCTTCCTCCAGGCACGCAGAACAGCAGCAGATCCGCAAAACCCGATCGAGGACTCAAGCACTCGGTCAAGCTCGCGTGGCAGGAAGCTACGCGTTGCGCGAGGCAGGCGGTTCGCAGTGTGAGCATGCGCGAGCCTTGCAGATTTTCAGACTATCAGTTAAAGTATCACAAGCATCCAGAGACTCGGCCGAGAAGTTCGCGCCGGCATTTTCACGGATCCCGACGCACTGCGCTCACCTCGCAGCATACGGTTGTTGGAGCGGCGGCCTTCGGGGGCACTCAGGGATCCACAAAAGCCCGAGGCCTCACTACGACATCTCCCAGCATGCAATGGCACGAGTCTTGTGGCAAGTGCATCTGTGTCGAAGCGGCTGGGACAGAAAGCCGACGGGAGCCAGCCTTTGCAGTTTTTCAGCATCCAGAAAATTGACAGGGACCAGAGAACTAAGTGCCGTTGTGGCTGATCCCAACAGTTGCCTTTTTGGAGCGGCAAGATGCGGCAGGTAGAGGTCGCAGAAACCCGCCGCGACTTTGGCACAAAAGCCTCATGCTGTCCGTGCTCTTATCAATGGTCGTTTGGGAAGCTGAATCAACCGAAGCCATCCCCTAGTCTGTTCTGGCGGCGGTCCGAATGCAATGCTGCATGTCCACTGTGTGATATTGCTATGATTGCTATGATTGCTATGGCCGTGGTGGCTGCCCCTGGGCACCAGGCGCACGAGGCCTGTTCGCTCCCTCTTCTTGCGTCAAGTGTGCGAGGCCGTGGCACGCGAGGGAGGCAAAGGCGAGCGAGGCCGGCACCAGAGCCAGCGCGGGTGACCGGGCGCAGAGCGCGCAGCGAGGTGAGCTGTGCAGAGCTCTGCAAGGAAGCTGCCCACGTCAACGTGGCACTTCAGGTGGTCCAGCAATGTCCAGCATCTATGCTATCGTTGCGTCTCCAAAGGCGGCCACGCGCGGAATGGTGCAGAGGCTCTGCAAGTGCGCGGCCCCAT